GGGTGCGCCCCCCCCCCCACCTCGGAAAAAGTCAGACTCCCCCTATGACGTAGTAAACCTGGGGGAGACATCACCTAATCAATGGGAACAACGTGTGTTTACGTCCTCTGACTCGTGTCATTAAGCAGTCACTGGAAATGGGTTATATAATTTGTCCCTCTGTTGTTTTGCGTCAAACGGCAGGTCACGTGATCTGACAACGTGATCTCCAAAACCTGTTCGTAAAAATGTATACGAAATATTTGACATAGAAATTCGTAACAATACATACTAACTGGCGGTGGTTAACCACGCCCCTTGAGTGAACGTCTCTCCGCCATGTGGGATTCTTGAGTGAATGTCTCTCCGCCATGGTGGATTTTTTGAGGGGGTTAGGGTTAGTATTGTCTTCTGATAATATTGTAACGGACTGACATGTTCTGTGAGCGAGATTACACAATAAGAGTTTGTTTATTTGTTCCTTTATAATACTAGTTTTGAAACCAGTACTTTTATAATTTTACTTAAGTAAACGCTTGAGTTGATACTTCAACTTCTACAAAAGTCTTTTTAAACCCTAGTATCTATACTTCTATACTTGAGTGATTAATGTGAATACTTTTGACACCTCTGCTTTTAAAAGCAAAGCAGGCTAAATCATAATGCAATTTATTCATATAGTGCTTTACATGGTAGGCTACTCAAAGACATGATACAACCAGCACATTTAGCACATAAACACAGATACAACAATAAAACCAACACATAAATCAATCATTAAAAACAATCAAAATAGTCTACAACTTTCCTAGTAGGCCTATGTATATATTTTAAAATCCTTCCACATTCAGTCGGTCCTCGATTGTCTGCCAGAATTTTCTCTGTTTAATTACAGCTGCCGTTTTTCCTTTTTTTTGCATATTATATGCTTCACCTTCTCATATGTTTCCATAATTAGTTGCTGCTCAGCGGGTGAAAATATGCCGCGCATGTCTTCTCCATTTCTGCATCAGTAAATCAGTGATCAATACTGTGGTCTACTTAAGAAAGGCGTGGACACGCACTTATCCCAGCTATGTACACATGGATTGATTTGGCTCCCCCTTCCCATCCTGGCTCAGATAGCGTGTAACCGATTAAGCCGCAATGAGCCGATCACACGAAGTCAAACTGCACTTTTTAAAAGTAATCACAAGATGTAATTTCAACGTTGAAATTGGGTTGGAAATAGGTCGGAACGTCTAAAGCCTAGTTTATGGTTATGCGTTTTCAGAGAAAAGCAGGGACACGCACCCGTAAGAGTCCCACGCATGCTTTTTTACCCCTTCTTGCGTGTGTCGACCAAATTTTCTAGATTAGCGTCAAAAGTTACGCAAGCCTTACGCATCCCGCAAGTACGTGAGTGTTTTAATGAAGCACACCTGGAACTATAACCAGTTGCTTTACTTGTGCTGCCCACTCAATGCGGGCTAGGCTGCTATTTTTGGTAAGCTAGTTAGCGGTAGAGGTAGCGCAGGTAGTTTGTTAGTTAGCATAACGTTAGCTTGTATGCATGCTAGCTTGGAGCATGCTAGCGTTCAGCATGATGACCTGGACCAAAAGTAAACATCCCAGAATATTTTCTGTGTGTTTTGTTTTGCTAATGCGTTAGGCCAGCAATTCCCAAAGTGTGGGCCGCAAAGGTACTGCAGGTGGGCCGCGAGAGGTCATTTGCAATAAATAAATAAAGTTTTTTAATTTTCAATTTTTAAAAGTTTGAAATTAATTTAAAAATATTTATGATGCGGCACATTAGTTATGTGAAACATTAATTGATGAAGCACAAACAATTTCAACGAACAGATTAATAAAACAATAAGGCTCTCGCTCGAAACGGCTGCTCTTGGGGCGCCCTCTTGTAGTATTAAAGTCAATACACCGCATTTTCCGCACTCCAAGGCGCACTTAAAAGGCTTTAATTTTCTCATAAAACGACAGTGCCTTATAATCCAGAGCGCCTTATATATATATATATATATGGATCAATTGGTTAATTGGTAGATCCATACTGGTTGTACACGGCGCTCAAGGCGCTCTGCCAAACATGCCAAAGCGAGATGCTGAGCGGGCGCTCAAGCGTGTGAGATATGGAGCTTGTTTCAGGGCGTGTCGGAGAAACAAAGCTGTCGTTCTTGCCGAGCACATAATGAAATTAAAGAGCGGGAGACGGTGCCCTTTTCTCTACAGTAGCTGAACCATCTTAACGGGGAAAATAAGGTATTCTAAAAGCAGCCGAAGATTTAAGGCGTGGATGGCGAGGGGGGCGGCGGGAGCTGACGCACCTCGCAGCATCGATCGGACCCTGAAAGCACCGTCTCCACCTTACTGTCAAAAAGAACAACAGCGAGCGCGTAGAAAACTCCTTCGAGCGCGAGCAGAGATTCTCCTCGCGAGCAACGAAGTTCACGTTTCGCAAGCGAGCAAATACCTCGCGGAGACAAACTTTTTCTCGCGCGAGACAGACTTTTGCTCGCGGATGTTTGATTTTGATTAAATTCTTAAGGTCATTTAATCATCCCTAGTTTATGTTTTGATTGAGTTGTGATTAAAGGTTTGGGTGGTGTGAGATGCATGTACTGGTAAAATATATTATAACATTGTTTTGTGCTAAAGCTGTGTCTCAAGTGTCCTGTATTTGACCCTGATGTGCAAAGAGCAGCATGATACAAAATGTTGCTTTGAAGCTGTGTCCTGAGAAGGGAGGGCGGTCAACTCAAGCTCATAGACGCTTAAAACAAAGGACTTCTATTCATGGCCTTGGTTCATATCTTATTTCGGTACGAAAGTTCCGGATCCACATTTTTTACTTTATGTCAATTAATTATGATTTCCACCGGCCACTGAGGAGGATCTTGTGTGTGTGTGTGCTACCCTCAGCTTCACCTGGGTTCTTATCTCAACCTGCTTTGCAGCTTCTCGTAGCTGGCACGGAGAATGTCCTTCACATGTGTATAAAAACTCAGCGTTCTTACTGCTCGGAGACGTCATTACGCCGAGCGCTGAGATACATGCTGGTGTGTTGGACCTCCTGTTTGCAAGCAATAGTTAGAGCCAGATATCTGCGGAGAATTGCTCATGTAATCTTTTTCTCTTCTAAATAAATGTTAACTTTTGACTTTAATTGACCAACGTGCTGCGATTCTTCTTATCAACCAACTCGGGGGGATCGGAGATCCTGACAATGGGCCGTGGCATTCTTGAGTTTGGGAACCGCTGCGTTAGGCTGTTGTACCCATGTAATGTTGTTGCCTTTCCCTTTTCATATTGAAAATACACGTTTTTTAAAGCAATGGGGGCTAAATACAGATTGCAAGGGTGAAGGGCTGCATTCAACAAGTTGTGGTCTGTAAAGATAAGGGCCAAAACAAAACAAGTTACTGCATGCTTAAAGCATGATACTGTGTAATATACCTGGAAATGTTACTCCAGAAATGCAATAAGTAGCAGATGAATTGTTACCTTTTTTATAATGTTATAAGTAAACAATATTTACCTAACAATATTAAGACTTGATGGACAAGATGGAGGAGTTTAAAGCCAAAATCGATGCTGTAGCTAGTTTGATCAACTGATGATGACCCAAAGGATCTTTTACACAGAAGGGTTCAGAGACATTTATAATTGATGGTTTTAACACACCTGCTGCTGTTATCATCATTATTATTAGTCACTTTACTATTACTGCCATCACAAACAATTAACAACTTTTCCCTGAAGTCTTTGTGCTTTGTGACATGGGGGGTAAAAAGGGATCAGGAAGTGAATGTAACATCTGCCTCTGCTCTTATTGTGTTTTCCGTCTGTTTTCATGAACTTCCTGTTTTATTTTGCATTTACTGTTAGTCTCTATTCACGTCACTTGTCTTCCTGCCTGTTGATTGCCGGTCTCCACTCTGATGCTACTCACCTGCAGTGTTGGGAGTAACACCTTACAATGTAACGCATTACTGTAATTCCACTACTTTTAACGAGCATGTAACAAAGTACTTTTTTAAAATAAAGTAACGCAGTTACAATTACTGAAATTGAAATTAGTTTGTTACTCGCGTTACTCTCTTTCGTGACGCGAAGCGGAGGGCCAGCAAATAGTAAGTAAATAGCTGCCTGTCAGCACAAAATAGTTGTGGCCACCAAACGTTGTGTGTCACAGAATAGTCGCCGTACGTGCATGTATGTATGCTCATGACGAAAGACCGCAGGCCCGCGCATGCTGCAGGCGCCGCTCCACGCAAACAACCAAAGCTCCACTTTACACGGACTGCAGTGCAGCCGATAAACCGGGCAGAGCTGAATAGATTGATTGCTCGGTATGTTGAAGATGAGATGCATCCTGTCGAGTCAGTTGCCTTCAGGCAAATGCCTGAAACTGTTATTTTGTATTGTATTTGTATTAAAAAGGACTTTTGTACTATTGCTTGATTTGAAGGCCTGTTGCCCTGTTGATTACAATAAATAGGTCTAAAAAATATGTTTATTGTGTTTGACTGTTCAGTACTATTTATATTCATTACATTTAAAAAGCAGACATAAAAGTAACTTAAGTTACTTTCCAGAGTAACTAATTACTTTTGATACACAGTAACTGGTAAGTAATTCAATTACCTTTAAAAGAAGTAACTAACTAAATACAAATTTTCAGTAACTTGCCCAACACTGCTCACCTGTGTCTAGTTGTCTTCCCCTCCCCCGTGTATATAAGCTCACCCTGATCCCCTGCCAGATTGTTGTAGCTCCATGTTGACTCACTTTCCAGTTTTCCCTTGGTTTGTCTTCTCGTGTACCTTGACCCATTGCCTGTAGTACGACCACGTTTACCTGCCTGTTGGACCTGGGGGGTATTCCAGAAAGGAGGTTCAACAGACTCTGCGTCTATCCCTGAACTCCGAGTTGACTTACTCTGAGACGGGAAACTCTGAGTATCCGGTTCCAGAACAGCTGATCTGCGTTAGTTCAATCAACTCGGAGTAGTTTCACCTTGAGTTAAGCGTGTGCATGACGATTATAAAAAGCCATCATCAATGTAGCCACGATACCACGAGTCACCATGACAACAGTAAATTAAAGAGCAAGCTATTTCCCTGCCATGGAGTTGGAGGTCCTTCTGCAGGAGAAGGAGAGAGCGACTGCAGACTTCACCCAGTCAGACTTCAGACCCAGACTGGGTAAAAATTGCTGCCCAAGTCAACGCGTAAGTTTGAATGTACTATTCCATTGACATAACATTTAACCGTAAGATCGTCGCGGTCTATAGTTAAGAATATAAGTAGGAATGTAATCTGATTTTCATTTTAGGTGCAATCCAACAGGGGGAAAAAAGGACCTGGAAGCAGCTAAAAATGAAATATAAAAACATAGTTAAAAAATGTATGGCATATATTGCTATGATTGCACCTCACTTTAATTTTAATTCATTTTCTTTAATTGACTTCGGCTATCAAACAAAGTAAATATTAATTCAGTGGCTACTAAGTTGTTTTTACACGTCTTTTCACTTACTATCCCACTTAGGAGACACTTTTTTTTGGAAATGTAGACAATTAGCAAACACAATGTTCCATTAGAAGACTGGAGTGAGAATTTCTGGAAATAGACTTCTATACACCTATGTAGATATTTCATTCAAAACCAGATGTTTCCACCTAGAATAGTCATTTACCACATTAGCAATGTATAGAGTGTATTTCTGATTCATTTAATGTTATCTTCATTCAAAAAAAGTGATTTTCTTTAAAAAATAAGGACATTTCTAAGTGACCCCAAACTTTTGAACTGTAGTGTGTGTATTATATACATATATAACTAGCCAGCCTACTTTTTAATTAATATTGTGGTGGCGGTGTAGAAGGGACGGAGAAGGGGGTGGTTCGGGGAACGGTGCCAGGAGGAGGCATAATTGGCCTCAAGTGGGATTAATCATTGTGTGTGTGTGTCCTTAAGAAGGGGAGATCCGGCGACAGCAGAGGTGCTGAGCGAGGCGAGGAGGCTGGAGCCTGTCGTGTGCTGCTGTTGAGCATAAAATAAAGACCGTATAAATGGAACCGACTGCATCTTCGCTAATAAATTTACGGATCATGGACTTCAGAGTCTTATTCATACGCTCCACCAGATACACGCTAGTACGAATGGACTTAATGCCCAGTAACCCGTAAAGTTCTCTCAGTGTGCGCGACATGAACGAGGTGCCCTGGTCAGTCAGAATCTCTTTAGGGATTCCAACTCTGGAGATGACCTGAAACAGAGCCTGCACGACACTCTTTGCGCAACGGCACTGCCTCTGGATATCACGTTGCGTAATCCATGAGGACAAACACAAAGCGATATCCGCGTGCGCTCCAGTGAAATGGCCCGATGAGGTCCATGCCGATCCGCTCGAACGGGACCTCCACCAACGGCAGAGGACGCAACGGCGCCCTCTGACAGGGCCGGACCGACCTCATAGTACACAGTATCGAGACGCCCCGGGCGTGACTGTGAGGTCACAACCCTACAGGTTGTTTTGTCCCAGGAGGTGGGGGTGGTGTACATCAGCCGTAAGCTGTCCGAGGGGGAGGCCAGGTACAGCACGGTGGAAAAGAAGTGCCTGGCCATCCAGTGGGCGGTCTGGTCTAAGTCGGGCGGTGGGGGTATGTGGTGGCGGGCGTGGTTTTGCTCCGCTGCAGAGGGGAGGGAGAAGGGAGTGGTTCGGGGAACGGTGCCAGGAGGAGGCATAATTGGCCTCAGGTGGGATTAATCATTGTGCGTGTTTGTCCTTAAGAAGGGGAGATCCGGCGACAGCAGAGTTGCTGAGCAAGGCGAGAAGGCTGGAGCCGGGCGTGTGCTGCTGTTGAGCATAAAATAAAGACTGTGTTAATGGAACTGACTGCATCTTCGTCATTCCGAGACCCCCCCCATAGGTCGAACCTGCCACAAATATATATCCACCCACCCAACAGTTGTAGATGGTGTCATCTGCACAGTTGTAAACCCTGCAGATACTCAGATCTTGCCTCAGATAGTTAAAAGTATTCAGAAACAGTATCTTAAGTAACAGGAAGATGATGAGGAGGAGGAGGAGGAAACGCTGTCTGCTGCCACAGGGAGAGAGTGTGTCTTAATATTATCTACTGGCAGTGCTCTGCCCATTCACATTCTAGAGTGGAATTTGGATATTGACATTTAGACTGAAGTGATGAGCATAGATAATGGCTAACTAGCACATTCTTGTCCTTGAACAGAACATGGTTGGGCATCACCAACCCACAGCACAGCTTGAAACAGTGAGATTTTCGGTCAATACCATGTTAAATCTATGTGGAACTGTAGGAATTAAATGTCGTCCGTTCTAACAAATTCCTCTGGAAATGATAAAACGTCTAATCTGGGTCGGAAGACCCTTGCAACGTAAAGCATTTCGAATCACTAAGACTTCAATGTCAATTGCATTTGGTAGGAATGGGCAATCCATGTCTACCAGCTTTTTTCATGTGGGAGGAGACGGTAGAAACTCTGTTTCTTATAGTAAACCTGCCAGCGAGCAGGTTATGTTCACAGAGTCTGTTACCATGGTGATTGACTCATAGTTTCAGTTACCTCTCTATCTGGAACGGATAACTCCGTTTCCTTGATCTCAGGGTTAACTTACTCTGAGTTTTCACATAACCCACTTTCTGGAATACCCCCTGTACTGTTGCCTGCATTACTCTGGGAGCAATAAACCAATTACCCTTATCCCTGTTTCCTGAGTCGTGCATTTGGGTCCGCCATTGTAGCCTGACAGTGAATGTGTGAGGTTGTAGCCAAAAGAAATATTTGCCGGTCAATAATCGTTAGATTAGTCGACTAATCAAAAAAATAATAGTTATTTGCAGGCTTATCATGCAGTGGTCCTGCCCTACACCTGGCTTACTACTCGCAATTATTTGAGTCATTTCAGTTATAGGCAGGGATGCGAACAGCAAGCTTTTCGGCGCCTCCTGCTTTTTCAAGGCCGTTTGGGAGACTTGTGCGAATCATGAATCAAGAGTTTTTTTAATTGGGTTTGGGGGAGGGGTTCTGATTATAATTTCATCAACAGTAATTTGCGCGCCAACAGTTGACCAATAATAATGCGGACCTCTCAAGTGTCACGCATTGAGTGTGACAGTCACGGATTTCGGGCTGTAGTCACGCACTCTCGCCACATCCAATTTGTCACACAAAAAAAGAAATCTGACTGGTCAGACGCGTTGGTTCCTTTTCAACCTCCCCGTCAGCCGTAGCATCCGTATCAAGGGCTTCAATTACTGCTCTTTTTTTGACCATACATGTGTTTGTATTGTACATCTTTTTTTTTACAGACTGAAAGCTCTGAGGAAAATTAGCAATTTTGGGCTACCGGTGAACTATGGTCAGGATTCAAATCATTTTATTTTGACCATAGTGGACCGGTTCTCTAATGTGGCTCACTTTGTTCCCCTTCCCAAGCTCCCGTCCGCAGACTTATTGGGCGACTGTGGGTGAGTGGGGAGCACGGTCGTCCTCCAATCAGAGGGTTGTCGTTTCAATCCCAGGCCCAGCTATCCCGCATGTCGATGTGTCCTTGGGCAAGACACTTAACCCAACATTGCTCCTGTAGCTGCGACTACAGTGTATGAATGTTAGGTACTGATGTGCAGGAGTCACTGTGTATGGTTCTCCTGTCATCAATGTATGAATGGGTGAATGATGTCATGTAGTGTTAAAGCGCTTTGAGTGGTCAGAAGACTAGAAAAGTGCTATACAAGTACAGTCCATTTACCATTACCATTTATTGGTCCACCATGTTTTCAGGCTCCACGGCATCAAGTGAACAGTCTCCGCTCGGGGTCCCCAGTTCTCCTCCCAGGTCTGTGTGATGGCCAGGACTTAAGCCACACAAATATAATAAATTCATCTTTGCGTTGATTAATCAAGAATAGATTTTGTAGGATATTAGAAACAAATAGACGATCCGGTTCATAAAATTAATAAAAATGCATATAGTGTACACCAGAATACAGCCATGATTCTGAAACTGTAATCAATAAAGTAATGACAATATTGTAAAACCACTGTAATTCTGCAACTATAATAGAATAATACCAATGCAGTTCTGATTGTATTTGATGTAATGTAATCAACTGGAATGCATGCATGTAATACTTGAACAACAACTGATATTGACTATGGGCCATTCGAAATCCGAGTTACATTGAACTCACCAGAAGACCACTCCCAGGGATGTGGACACTGACTTTCACACCTTTAAGCATTGTTATAAATACCTGTAGGAACCATTGTTCTCGAGTTCACTGGTGGAGACGACAGACGGGCACTAGGGATGGTCAAAGGACTGACCTGGGGCCTGTTGGTCGCTGAGACCAGCGGCTCCTCAGCTGAGATGTTCTTTTAACCACAACGCCATCTCCTTTATTAAATACATTTGATTTTAACTTTTTGATCAGCGATGACCTCTGTCCGTCCGGCGTTTCTTCATTTTTGAACACAACAATTTTAAGGTACTTCTCCTCACCTACAAGGCACTTGCTGGTGAGGCACCGTTGTATCTTCAAGAGCTTGTAACACCTTATTGCCCTACAAGGCAGCTGCGCTCCATAGATGCTGGGTTACTTGTTGTTCCTATGGTTTCAAAAAGTAGGCTGGGGGCCAGAGCCTTCAGTTATCAAACTCCTCTTTTGTGGAACCAGGTTCCACTTTCAGTCCAGGGGGCAGATTCAGTCAGCTCTTTTAAAGTAAAACTTAAAACTTTCCTCTTTGATTCTGCCTATAGTTAGGGCTGGCCCAGGTTAGCCCGGACCAGCCCTTAGTTAAGCTGCTATAGGCTTAGAATGCCGGGGGAATTCTTCGGACACACAGAGCTCCTCTCTCACGCTCTCGTTCTACCATAATTCACGTTTTATTAATGCACATGACTAATTCAGCTTCTTTCCGGGAGTTTTTTTTGTGCTTTCTCCCCTATCAGGTCTCCGTAGATCGTGGTTCCTTCGGGACCCTGGTCCTAACACCTACTGTGGCCATGCTGACGCCTGCTGCTGCCATCATCATCATCATTATTATTTTAGATATTAATCATATTACTGTACTCGTAAACCGACATTACCCTCTCCTATAGTCTCTGTGCTCTCCCTCCCCACAGGCTTCTGTGGATGGTGGTTCTATCTGATGGTGGTTGCCTCTGCAGTGGTCCTGCTGTGCGCCTGGCTTACTACTCACAATTACTTGAATCATTTCTGTGATAGGAATTGCATGTATTATATATTGTTCATTCTGTACACATGGCATCCATTGTAGTCTGTCCATCCCGGGAGTGGGATCCCTCCTCTGACGTTCTCCCTAAGGTTTCTTCCCTTTTTTCCCTCTTGGAAGGGTTTTTTTATTTTCTGGGGAGTTTTTCCTGTGCCGATGGTGGGTTTTGGGACAGAGGATGTTGTATGTGTACAGACTGTAAAGCCCTCTGAGGCAAATTTGTAATTTGCGATTATGGGCTATACAAAATAAAATGAATTGAATTAATAAATAAAAGGACATTATATGGGTTTTGTTTAAGAGCTTTATTTGTCATTGTACTGAGTCAGTGCACAGGCTTAGTTATTTGGCGTAAGGTTAAAACATTAAAACCAGTTAAAATTTCACTGGGCTAAAATGTGATTTATAAAAACATAGCACAATTAAAGTTTATGATGAAGTAAAGTACCTGGGGGTGCTGTGGGAATGGACTAACCAGGAAGTTGACCTGCTTTATGGGAATCCTACAGGAAATTGGACTGTACCAACCAAGGGAGGCCCACATCAATTTCTGACAATTTACGGCAGTTTTCGGCGTTGCCCGCAAATTGCCGTGAACAGCCGCAAACCTGAAATTCCACGACAATTTACATTGCCGCATCCCACTTTTCATGCAGTGATGCTTACCACTCTGCCTGCTGTCAAACTGCCGAGGGCCACCACCACATAGTAATATTTTGTAGTGTCCTCTGTAATGTCTCTGAGGGCAAACTGTGCTTCCGATTGTGCAAACCACACTGATTGCGTCTCCCAAAACTGTTTGAGCGAAACTGCGTGCGTCGAACGTAACCTGAA